CTCCTCCCTCTCCTTCCTCTCTTCCTCCTCCCTTCCACCTCCCACCCTCTCCCCTTCTCTCCACCCTCCTCCTCCACCTCTACCTCTTCCTCCTCCCTCTCCTTCCTCCCTTCCTCCTCCCTTCCACCTCCCCACCCTCTCCCCTTCTCTCCACCCTCCCCCTCGTCTCCCTCACCCCTTCAGACTCCGCCATGTACGCCCACTATGTATTTGGCACGATGGACCAGGATGGCTCTGGCACCATCACCTTCGGAGACTTCATCATGGGCCTCTCCGTGCTCCTGAAGGGGACGCTGCAGGAGAGAGTCAACTGGATCTTCAAGTAAGTGGTGCTGATCATGGTAATAAAGGGGGTAATGGTAATAAGGTGGTTAGGGAGAAAATGGCACTGTGGTTGATAGTAATAATGAGTAATAGTAGTAGGAGTAATAGTGATAATGGTAGTGAAATGAATGATTTTACTTATAATGATTATAATGGTAATGATGGTAGTTATTATAATAATGTTAATAATAGTTATAATTAATATTATTATTATGATTATTATTTTGGTAAGCAGAACTGTAATATATATGGTAATGATAATGATAATGATGATACTCTAAAAACCCTAGTTACTATTGATAGAAATAATAGTGTAATAATTATAATTCATAATACTGGTGTAGTGCTCTAAAATGGAGATAACTGTTAAGGTCTAAGCAATAAATATGATAATTACGCAGTTATGGAAAGTCAAGATATTGCTTTTATTCGCTATAAGGATGACAATTAAGTTATTTGTAAGAATGAGGTAAAGGCGCAGGTTGTGATGATAATTATGGTGTAGTTAGTAGCTGTACATTAACAATAAAGATAATAATAAGATCAATCATCATAATCTTCATCAAGATCATAATCATGATACTAGCAGCAGTAGTAGTAATTGTTGTAGTAATAGACATGATGATAATAACGATAATGATAATATAGCCACTTGTAATGATGACATAGTTTTTGGTTATAACAATAATAGTGATAGAATGATATATGATATAATGACACTGAAGATAGGGTTATGTATCACGAAGCAATTCGAAATAACAGTAGTAGTGAACATACGAATAGCATGGATAATTGGGAAAATAGTAGTATTGCAAGTACTGATAAATGTGATGGTAATGATGACCTATTGTCCATATTGGCATTGATGGTGGTAATGCTTCTGTTACAGAGGATGGTAATAATAATAATGTTAATGGTAATAACAATGAAAATAAAATAAATCAATCATGGATGCTCGAGATAATGACAATAATAATAATAATAATAATAATAATAATAATAATAATAAATAAATAATAATAATAATAATAATAATAATAATGAAAATAATGATAATAGTATTAATAAACAATAATAATGATAATGATAATAATAATAACAATAATGATAGCAACAATGATAATAATAACAATTATAATAATAATAAAATGACTGAAAAATATTGATGATGAAGATAATGATTATAAGAAAAGGTAATGACGATGAAAACAATACATCTCGAAACCAACACGATCATCATATCTATCACCAATCTAAAAAAAAAATAAAAAAAAAAAAATAAATAAATAAATAAAAAAAAATCTTCCATTCCTTCACCCTAATCCTGTGACATCCTCCAACAGCCTGTATGACATCAACAACGATGGCTACATCACACGGGAAGAGCTGATTGACATCGTGACCTCCATCTATGACCTCATGGGCGACCAGGCCAACCCCTGCGTGGATGACAGTACGGCCGTGGACCATGTCGATAAGGTCTTCCAGGTGAGAGGGGCCGGGGGTTGGGCAGGTGGGGTATGTGGGGGTTGGAGGGGGGAGGTAGGGAATGTGGGGGGTAGAGAGGGGGATGTGGGGTTGGTGGGGGTATGTGGGGGAGGTGGAGAGGAGGGGGGTTGGTGTGGAGTAGGGATGGAGAGGAGGGGGGGTTGGGGGGTGGAGAGGGGGGAGGTGGGGTTTTGGTGGGTGGGTGTGGGGGTGGAGAGGGGGATGGGGGTTTGGTGGGGGTATGGGGGAAGGTGGAGAGGAAGGGGGTTGGTGTGGAGTAGGGATGGAGAGGAGGAGGGTTGGGGGGTGGAGAGGGGGAGGTGGGGTTTGGTGGGTGGGTGTGGGGGTGGGAGTGGTTTGGTGGGGGTATGTGGGGGATGGAGAGGAGAGGGGGTTTGGTGGGGGTGTGGTTTGATGGGGGTATGGGGGTGGAGAGGGAGAGGTGGGGTTAATGGAGGTATGTGGGGGTGGGAGGGGGAGGTAGGGTTTGGTGTGGAGTAGGGATGGAAGGAGGAAGGTTGGGGAGGTGGTGTTTCATTGGGGTATGTGGGGTGTGTGGTAAGAGAATTGGTTTTTGGGGGGGGTTAGGGTGGCAGAATAGGGAGGGTGGGGAGGCGGGTTTTTGGCGGGGGCTTGTGGTGGGTAGAGAGCCCAAGGAAGGTGGGTTTTGGTAGATGGGGGGCGCGGG